GGGTTGGCAACCGCAGTTTTTTTGTCGCACAGTTGCTGTTATCACGAAGATGCTGCTGCCCATCTCCTGCCTGTTTCCCTCTGTCGCCTTTTACGACACCCACGGGAAGATATGGGATAGTGGATATTCTTAAACGCCACTACACGGCTAGAAGAGAAAAAACACTACAACCGTGATAAAAATGGTTTATTCTTAATAATCGAAAAAAAATATTTGTATTTAAAGAAAGATAGCAATATTATAACCAACACTTATAAAAAATATAAAAATCCGTTTATCCATACATTAATTAAAATAACCCTTAAATCAGCTGGATAATGATCGATTTTAAATATTTTATGAAAATATATATAACACAGAGAGCAATGTAAAGAAGGCAAGAACAATTTTAGGTGTATTAATTAATTATTCTAATCTCGTTCGGTTGAATAAATATATAAAAGGAAATAATAAATTTACATAACTATATATATTTCATAAATTGACATAATAAATAAATAATACATAAATAAATAAAAGCCAAAAGTGATGGAAGCCCTCGGCAGGGGAGACCAAACGAGGGTTTAGGGGAAAGGGAAAAAAACAAGTCGAAGAAGCGGGCGGTATCGAGGAGCACCGCCTTCTGCATTTGAGCCCAGAGCAGTCCGTCACGGAGTCACAGCCGCCTCAGATGACCCGAGAGGTTCACTGGGATTAGCGACTTTGCAGGAATGACCACAGGAATAATTTCTGTCGGAAGACCACCTCATATGCCAGTCACCTCGTGAGGTCCAGATAATTTGTTTGCTTATCTGTTTCGGCTTTCACGAGGTTCTCGTCATACGGAATGGTAATGTTGACCTAAATATTCTTGGCTGTGCCCTGTCCATCAGCACAGTATCAGGCTTAGTCGCAAGAATAGTCCTGTCTGTGATGATGGCCCAATCCCAGTAGAGCTTAGTGCGATCATTTTCGAGCACGGCTTCCGGCAAGTAATTACAATTAGGCAGTTTTCGATTCACGACGCCGTATTTCAGAGCAAGCTCCGGGTCTAAAACCCTAGCTACTAGGTTATGCCGATGCAAGTACTCAGAGTTAGAAAGCGCCGAACAACCGGAGATGACATGCCTAAGTGACTCACTGGGATGACGAAAAAAGCTCGACAGATTTCGACGGTGCCATCCTTTAGGATGTATCTCCGATTGTTATTGTTCTTAATAAACAGATCCTGTATTTCACGGACAAAACCCTTAGTTTCCCCGAAGAGGTCACCAAAACGTAACCAGTTGAGCGAGGAAATTGTATCCACGAAAGGCTCATGCAGAGCCTTGTAGAACCTCCCGTGGAGCTCCTTTTCTTTCCATATGGTCTCGCGGCCAGAAATGCTATGTACTGCCGGGTCCTGCCATTGCTCGTCAGATTAGGATAGAGGGGTAAGTACTATATCACAAGATATGACGTCATTATAGAATGGATCATCTGATCTCGCCAGATAGTAATTACGAAGGCTGCACACTTCGCGATTATGCATGGTGAGCGCGCTTAAAATGCCATACTCACCATGCCTTCGCGGCAAGTACATCCTCATTACCGACGATCTCGGATGATGCATTCTATGGGACATCAAATTAGTGCGGACTTTTCTATCCAGAGTGTTAAGTTTAGTCTAAGTCCGCCTGAGTATGCCAAAGGTGTACATGTGGACAGGCATGACCCAACCGTCATATGCGTGAAGCTTATTCACACTGGACAAAACGCTGTTAAACACTTTAGTCAAACGTGCATAAAACACGTCGCAAACTGACTATTTCATACCCACCTCATAGATACCGATGGTCTCAGTGACAAGTGAGAAGAAGACAAGTGATGTTTAGCAACTCCATAAGGTGGGAGCGACTGGAAGCGAATATTTTGAGATCATCTATATAGAAAAGGTTGGTCACTTTTGTTCCTCCTTTCCTAACCTGAAATCCTGGAGCCCTATAGTAAGGTTCTAAGAGGGTTCAAAGAGAGACAGAACTGATTGGACTCAGATAATCGCCCTGGAAGACAACCCACCTCATCCTTAGGCGGTTCTCCGCAGCCGTCGTTCGCTCGTCCAGATGACAAAGGATCGTTTCTGGCCTATAACTGGCCGTTCTCTAACTGTACAGTCAACTTTGTACAGCTCGAGGACCCTCTTTAGCCATGTATAGGGCACTCAGCCGAATGCCTTTCTGTAGTCTATCCAGGCGGTGGAGAAGTTCCGACGGTTGCGTTTAACCGCTTTGCCAATGACCGCGTCAATGAGGACTGGTTCTTTTTTTTGCTTTTTATAAGACAGTGCTTGACCACAATCCCACCTGGAGGTGAGTGGTGATGCAGCCTTAGATGGTAAATAGCACTGTCTTAGTGTAACAAATGCCTATTCACTCTTACCTTGAAGACACCCAGATTGTATTCGCACGGAAAAATGTCGCACGTCGGCAAATTACTCCACTCTTTTGCTGTGCGCATTAAAAAAGTCGAAGTAAACCGTTTGGTTCTAATAGGTAGTTTTCTCGCGGCTGCTTTGGCTCTGGACTCAATGAACCGCCCATAATTGAGATGCGGAGAAAATTCGATTCCTAACAATTGAAGGCGGTCAGTGTACTCCAAGGATATATTCCGGAAAGTAGGAGCCAAGATAAGCGGGCTCCTTTTAGCGGTGAAAAGACACCTGTGTTTTGGAGGCATTGAATCTCACGAGATTAGCATCGCCCCATTCGAAGATTGCCTGTAGTGTGGGATTCACACAATCATACCTTGATTCCTCGACCATCATCTACCGCCATGATATTACCTGTTTTAATTTCAGGCGACGAGTGATTCTTGCACTAAAAATGGATGTCAGTGTCTTGTATATGGTAGGTAGACACGTAATGAGGCGGTATTTGCTCGGATCTTTGGCATCCTGATCCTTAGGAACCAAGTGAGTGAACCCAGTAGTGAAGAAGCTTGGGAGCGACTTCTGGTTGAGAGCTTCTTGAAACTGTCAGGTGAGCACAGCGTGACCTACCACAAACCCCTTTAGCCAGTAGTGATGCAACCCGTTGAGTCCCGGAATCTTCCTGTTCGGAGCCCTACGGACCGCAACAGCTAAGTCTTCCGGCGTTATGATGATGGAGTCCATGGGCGTAAAATTTGCACCCTGGCTCGCCAAAATTTCCATTAAATTACTTACCTCGCTGTCTGTCTGCTGTGGCTTACAGGCTCTAAACACAGGCCACGCCAGAATGCCACAGTATCGGCCCGATTTGGTGTTGGGCGCGTTCCATATACCATTGTTGATACAACGATTTATAGAACCTCTTCTGATCACTCTGGAAGAGACGATTATTGAACCACTCTCGGTAAATCGTTGAAGCCGCTTCCGCCAAGCAGCGATTATTATTATTATGAGAATAGGGAATATATTTAAGTACATTATTATTTCTGTTGAAGAGTGCCGTGAAAGCTCAGAAAATAAGCTTGTGCTCGCAAAGTAGTCACACGAAAAACTAAGTTCAATCGTCGTCAATAGAATAGCACTTTTAAATTTTGATTTACTACGTCCTCAGTGGTAATGAAGAAAAGCAAAGTAGAAATTAGCTATCTCAGAAGTATAAAAATATCTGTGCCCAACAGTGGGGTAGATAATGTGGGCACATAATGCCAATCAGAATTTCCAAGCATATAATAAATATATTTATTTAAACATCAAAATCAACATCAACGGTTAATCGTTTGTATTATTTAATTTATTAGTAACTGAAGGCAAAATATATTACTTTTTGCATTTAATGAAAGATTTCAATGTTTTTAAAATGATTAGAGTAGATTGTGAGCGATGATTTAAACTAGACAATGGTAAAAATTATTATAAGCTTTATTTATACATATGGCATACATTTAAAAAAATAATACGTGTTTCCTCTTATAAAAATCTACAAAGTCTACATTATCCCCATCCTTATTCCAAGAAATAACATCTCAGAAATATAAAGACACTATGCCTAGCAGTTGAATGTATAAAAAGGCTGTACAGTATTTACGCAGTTGGGTTATTTTTTAAATAAAATAGTACGTCTTACTTTGTGCTCAATCTCATAATATATCGATGCTATTCAAAAAAGTACAACTCAAATCTTTGATATGATTGACATTCGAGTAAATATATTATAAGAAATACATGCAAAAGTTTACATTCGTATATGGGTTATAACACCTATGATTAATGCAGCGATAAGAACTAATTTTGGCAACACATCTCAAAATAAAAACATAACCCAACCTTTAACATTATACATTACATTACATGTACATGACATTAACTATTGCACTTTTTTAACTATATGATGGTATTACACTTTTTATATCTAAATGACGCAAAGAAAAAAAATATTATTTGTGATTATTTTTACATAATTATCTTTATATTAAACATAATTTGCAGGTGTCTATATATCTGATATTTTTGAGAAAGAAAATGATTTAGAGGAACTAAAAAAAGGAATACATTTAACATAAATTATGTACGATTTCTGAGATTGGATTTAAACTCTGTGGATTTAAATGCAATTAATTACGCAACGTCATTATTTTACAAATGTTTACCTACCCTTCAAAATAATAATCAAAACTTTTGAAAGAATGAACCCAATGAAACAAAGACCTAATACTCAAATATAAGCTTAATGAATTTTCTATCAATAATTTGAACAAAATACAGACAGAAAAATCTATGTAAATATGTATATAATTACTTCCCTCCCAATATTTTTTTACTAAAATATATGCAATGTGCAAGCAATTTACATTATCATCATATTATATAAGAAGATTAAAAATATACGCACAAAGTTTGCTTTTTCATATATTTTCTTTATTGGGTCAACTGGAATTTACGATTCTTATTGTCTAGTTATGTGTAACAAATATGAACTATTCCTATTCAAAGCATGTTAAAATCTAATAAATTTACTGTAATATAATGCATTACGAGTAATAAATTGGTACAGGTTTTAAATATAATAATATCGTGATGTATCATCGGCGTAACTTCGATAAAAATCTAAAATTTTAAGAAAGACGTCGGGAGATGGCGTAGCGTCTTCAGGAAGTGCATTAACCTTCTGCAAATACGTGTTATATCGAGACTGCATTTCTTCTTTGTAAAGTTTTGTTAAATTAAGTTCGTTGTATAATTTTCGAATGCGCTTGATACATTCTGGGTCCCAGCTTCCGTAGTTTTCTTCAAATATTTTGCGTTGTTCTGTGTTACCATGCTTAAGCGCTGCAATTGCAAAAAACGAACATTTTCCAAGGGGGATGTCAGTACTCGATTTACCCGATATTGATCCATCAGTGTCAACATAATCGGAATAATCGTTCTGAAAATCGCAAGTAGAATAAAATTTATTTACATTATAGTTCATATAATTGATAGGATCAGGCGTTATTTTGCAGCAATCCATTACGTTAAAGATGTTAAAAATTAATTAGCTAACTGTGAAAAAAAACTGTTCAAATAGTCTTAGCGTGCAGCCATTGCAGAGTTGACTGAACATTTACAGGCGAAATTTGTGTCGTATTATCGACGGCGGTGGGTCTTTAGTAATATAGGCGTGTTGGGAGTAGGTTAGTGGTGACGGGGATAGTGTACGTTGAGGGAGGGTGAGAGGTGCTTTTCATACTAGGTACGATATATCATTTTATTTAATTACGCGAATTTAGCCAATTAATTATTAACATCTTTAATACATATAACAGTTAATATTTATTACCATTTTAACAAAAGTAAAACTAAGATCTTCATTTTTCATACAGTCCTACTCCTCGCGTTATAGTGCCAAAAACGTTGCCTGCATTACTTCGTTAAATACCTAGCTTAGCTCTTGAGTGAGAAAAGAATCAGTCTTCTTATCTCCAGTGTCGACTACCAGTTGTGGATATAGTTCTTTTAGAGACTTTACCGCAAGTGGAAAGAACCCCTTTGTCGTATCTCCTCAGTTTGAAGGCACTTGCCTTGCTGCCTTAGCTAGCATCAGAATCCCTGGCGTCAACAATCGAATAGTGTGCAAGTTTCGTGGTCACTTGGAGGGGAAGGCCAAATTGGTCTCTAAAAGCTTGGCATACTCAGCAGAGCGAGAAGGAATTTAATGCCGGCACCTCGCTTGCAATTTCACAAAGCGCAAGTTCGGTTTCACATGGAATACTGTTCTGATCGCTGGGCCGGGGCACCCTAGTGCCAGCTCCTTCCACTTGACCGCTTCCAGCGCAGAGTGATTCGAATCGACGACGATCGAGTTCTTTCTGACTACCGCTACACTACCGCTGCGTAGGGATGTTGCATCCCTTTGCGTTTTCTTTCATATCTACCATGGGGAGCGTTCTGAGGAATTGTTTGGATTAGTTCCAGCCACCAAATTTTACGAACTTCGCGTCAAAATTTCCGATACCATACTTACCATCTGGATGCTTGGCGGTCAACTACTGTACGTTTTACTAGGAGTTTTCTTCCTCATAATACTTCTCTGTAGAATTCTTTACCACCAGCGACTTTTCCGGATCGATACGACTTAGGGACCTTTAAGAAAAGAGCTTACTCCTCTCTTAAAGGTCAGCAACATATCTGCAATTCCTCTGGTGTAGCGCTTGTTCATAGACGGCGGGAGTCATCAGGTGAGCCGCATGCTTGTTTGCCCCCTCTTCTATAAAAAGGGCAAATGGCACATTTGCAGCTATTTTTCAATGACTCATATTGGTGCAACTTTAGTCACTTCAGTCGCAAATATAACATTGTTCTTTTTTATGAAACTGAAGTGGCAGATGAACTTATAGCGCAATTCTAGATTTGTGGCCGACGTAAAGAATTTAACGGCAATGTAAAGTCCGCTGCTTTGCCCCGATGCGTGTTGGTGAACCTCACATGTGAATTTTAGTGATCTTTACAATAAAATGTACTAGGTTTTTATGGACAAAATTATTATTTATCGGTAGCACGTGAATTTTATATGAGTTAAGTGATATGTGAGAATTTTTCCTTCCAATAATCATATTTATTTCTATAAGTACACACAGGTCTAAAGTCTTTAAAAAAACGTTCGTTATTAGTATATAATGGGAGCCATATCATAAAAGAAAGAAAAAGTTTAGGGAACTTAATGTGGTGTTGAAGAGGACCTGAAATAATCGAAAATAGTAGAAAAAGTTGAGACGTTGTAACAAGAGGAAAGTTGAGGGAAAAAGTAAAGTGTTTATGGCATGAGTGAATTATATACACATAAACACATAAACACTCACGCCTGTCACCCAGAGGGGTAGGCAGAGACTACAGACTTCCATTTGGCACGATCCTGACACACCTCTCTCGCCTCTTTCACATCTATACATCTACGAATACATGCTAATTAAAAAAAAAAATTGGCCCGTTTTCAATAAATCGCCAATTTGGTCGATAAATTTTCGCCTAGGACGTCCCTTTCCGACTCTGCCATTCACTTCTGCCACATAAATTTTACTTTGTCACTCTTTCCTCATTCATTCTTTCCACATGACCAAACCACCGAAGCATTCCTTTCTTAATACTGGTCACAACATTATATTGCAAACCACACTCTTCTCTTATTACACAATTTCTTACCCTGTCGTTCAGATTCAGCCCTAACATACTCCTTAACGACCGCATTTCTACTGCGTTGATTCTATTCTCGTGCTTCTTCTGCCTCACCGAAGTTCAGTCACTACCATACGTTAAAGTAGGGACCAACACAGCATTGTGAATTGCCATACGTGCCTTTTTTGACACATTTTGACTCTTCACAATAGAGTGCAGGGCCCTATTTACTCTATTTCTCGCATTCCAACATTAACATAACATAAATAGGTTGAACAGCCACGGGGAAGCCACACAGTCCTGTCTGACACCTTTATGGATGTCAAACTAGTCCGAGTAGACCCCGTTGATCCTAACACAAGCACTAGAGTCCCTATAAAGAGACTCCAATGCCTGTATCAAGCCAGCGCCCAACCCAAATGAGTTCAGTGTTCGCCATAGCACATCCCTATCCACTCTGTCATAGGCCTTTTCCAAGTCCATGAACACACAAAAAACCTTTTGGTATTTGGCCAAAAAATTTTCCGCGATCATGCGCATGGAAAAGACTTGATCTGTACATCCCATTCCCTTTCTAAATCCCGCTTGCACATCCCAAATTTTTCCATCAGTTTCTTTCATGACCCTTTCAATCAGTACCTTAGCATACAGTTTTCCCACAATGCTAAGAAGGCTGATGCCACGGTAGTTTTTATAGTCCCGCTGCGACCCTTTTCCTTTATTACTGGGACTATCGCGGCTTTGCACCAGTCTACCGGTACCCGCTTCAGTTCCCAGCATAAATTAAACAAGGTGCAGCAGGCCTGCCACGACTTCCTCTCCAGCCCTTAGCATTTCGAGTGAAACTCTATCATATCCGGCAGCCTTACCTGCTTTCATGCTTTTCATTGCTTTCATTATTTCATCTATACTTATCTCGCTACCTCTTTCCTCTTCTTTCGGAGTTTCTACTTCACTTAGTACACACGTTGTCTCCTAACTCATAAACACGCTTTCAAAATATTCCTTCCATCTCTTTAAACTCAAAACTTCATCATTCAGAATATAGCCATTCTCGTCTCTTATAGCATTCATCATAGGCTATTTTTAATGTCCCCTGACAGTTCTTATAAGTTTCCAGAACATTTTAATATTTGCCTGGAAGTTATAGATTCATACCATATATTATATGGTATGAATCATACAACAAGTAAAAGAAAAACAAACCGTGTATTACATTTACAAACTATTTTGTTCTCTCAGTTTGTTCAGTGATTGTTTATTTTTTTTTTAATTTTTCAATTTATTTTCATAACATCGTTGTTACTGAAGATAAGTTTGCTATAATTTTTTTTTATTTTCGACAAAACATAAAATGTTTTTATAAAAACCTAAAATACAAAAAGGACTTCTATCTAGACAAAAACGCAATTCGTACACCATAATTGATTCGATAAAAAAAACTCTACAAACGTGTACCTTGAGATTCTACTAGAAAAACGTGTAATACTTACAACAAATTAAAATCATAAGTGATGGAATGTCGCTAACATATTTTACGAATTAGTTTTCATTTGTACCTTATGAAAAAAATGAACATAGTTGAACGTTGAACATTACAACACTTGAGGCCGTCCGCCATCCAGCCAGTGGCTGGGATGGCGGACGGCCTCAAACGTTGCCTGCCAGTGCCTACCGAGACATCCTTGAGGTTGGATGTACGTTATTTTTTCTAAAATTCATTGCATTACATTTTATGAACATAATTATACACATATATTATTTTATAGATATACATACAAGATATATAAATATATACCTATATATGCTTAATGCTGCCCTAATATGCTATATATATATATAGTACATACATAATTAAATATAGCTGTTTCTGATTCAAACACATACAAAATATTTGAAATAATATTAAAACAGGAAAAGGGAAGAGTTAGAATTTAAGGATATAAGCTAATATCTTAGATATTTAGTGCTTCTAACTAATATATATATATATTCTTTGTTAGGATGTAGCGGTTTCTCTTACGCCGCCGCTATACGACATCATCAATCCAGCCTTCATTTCATGATTCCTAAATATTTTCACCGAAGCAGATATAGCTTTCTCAATGGTTTTATTTGCCGTCAAGCAAGTTGTAAATCATCAGATAAAGTTAGGATTACAAATGGGATCTAACTTGCTTATGTACCGTGTGACTGTCAAAACTTATTTTTCATACCTGACTAACAATTAGTTTTTAAAGTCTGCAACAAGATTATTTACAACGTTATATGATAATCGTCACTTAATTTAGAATACAACTTACTTTATTCCTCGAATTATAATATATCAAATTCTATTTTCTACTTTTTAATACAAATAATAAATCAAATAAGTAAACCAAAACTAATATATCGATGTCGATTGTTGCTAATATCATTAACGAATCACTATTAATTAAAGACGTCATGTCTTGTGAAATAACGTCACACATGATACTATTACAATATGGATGTCTTTTTTTTGTAAATCAGAAGATAGGAGTGTACATACTCTCATTTTTTGCATAGTATAATAAAACTTATTGTTAAAAGCTAGAGCTAGAAAATGTTGCGTGAAAATTATGTGTAAACGTATAAATTACACACGAGACAAGTATATTGAGTCAATTTATGTAGAATTGTAGGCTCTCTATGTACTCATATGCATGTAGTTACTCTAAGATAAGATACCAAGAAAAATGAACAACTTACATTAAGCTGAAAGACTACTCCCATATCAGTACATAAATCTTCTGCGAGCTGGAACGACTCCTGAGTAGCTTTGTTACTTAATACCAGGGCCATATGTACCACTGAAGTAATACAGTAGTACGACGCCTTGAAAGTTTGTGTAAGGTTATAGTCATCCATTGTGAACTTTGAGTAGTCTCTTGACCTTTGAATTTCATAATCCCTTTGTTGTGATATTTCTAATTGCAAATACATCTGTAAAAATCTTGTAAATGTTACTACTCGTAAAGTTACCGTGAGAGTATCTCAAAGGTCCCTTACTGAACATAGGCCTCCTACAGATCGTCTCATAGGAGGATATTTGCTAATTGCCGTAATTGCCACTCATGGTAGGCAGATTAACAATTGCTTTATTTTTAGTTGTTATTAAAAGGACGCCCCTGTCCATCTACTTCTTAGTTTCATGCTGTCATTTCTTAAGATACCTACAAGACGATATGGTTTGGTGGATCATGTTGTGAGGGTTTCAGTAAGCTGCCGTGTATACACACACATACTGGATGATTGTTAACAGACCACGGAGGAAGGAATATCCTACCTGCACCTATGTTGAATTTTTGGTGTAAGGGCAGGGAGTAGAGTAGTCAGAGTTAGCAATTCATGTATAGTTAAAACTATTTTAATATATATTCAGAAATAAATTTAATATATCTGAAAATAAAGAATTAGGTGTGTTATAGAGTTGCAGTAATTTTTTCTCACCTCATTGCAAACGTCATACAATTTGTTGTAAATGGATTCATCTACATTTTGCCTTAAAATTTCATTCGCAAAGTGTCGAAGTAAATTAAGGTCGGTTATGCATATAGGGTTTACGTCAGGAAGTAAATGCCAACACGGTAAATTGCATCGCATCTTTGCTCTATCCAAAACGTCATCCTGAATTATGAAGTATGCTTGAATCTGGAATTATTAATTTTAATGATTATTAAATAATTTTTATTTTCTCTTCACAAAGTTGTAAAATTACCTATTAATACATACACAATACAATTTAAAACAATCTGTGAGACTGCTGTCTATATTAAGGTAGTACCAGTGTAATAGATTACCAGTCAAAGTGTATTTGACTACTTTTATTTTACCCGCTAGCTCAGAAAGAACAGCAAACAGGTTAGCCTGTTTGCTCGCGACGCGAATGGCGGGAATTGCAATTTTTTTGCTAATTTGCAAATTTTGCTATATTATCACTTTGAGACAATATTTATGGATAAAACTTACAGGAATTCCTGTTGAATGTATAAACTATCGAATAAAATTATTTTTGGTTGCTAGAAATTGTAATGAAATTCATAAATTACCTTTTATAGCATAGTAGTAGTATACTTCACTTTTAGTGCCAAAATTACTACTAATTTGAATTCTACACTTTTTGGAAATATGTATATTTTTATGTTTTATGTGTTTCTATTCGTTACACATACCAAAATATTTAAAAAATAATAATATTTATCTGTATGACATTTCGAACAATATTTCAAATATATTTTTGTGTGAATTTGAAATAAATACAACGTCAAGTTATTTGAAATATATTATAAAACTATTTTTTAGTTACATTTTACACTAAAAATAAATGAGATATGGAAAAATAACACATTTTTGACCCAACCGCCAAAATGGGCCTTCTCGATTTCGAAGTACTTTTGGCACTTACTTTTCACTTTTTATGCCACAAATTATATATCTACGTGTTTACTATATTACAAGGAATACAAAAAAGTATAATACTTTCGTTTTTAGTCCAGACACAAATATAAAATTCTATAAAAAAGACGGAGCACCTTCTGGCCTTCTGCAATGCGACACGTGGAACGCCGAAAGTTCAGAGTGATTTCTTTTTTTTTTCTAAGAAACATTGCCAGGTTATGGTTTAAAATAAAAGAGCATATCTTTGTCTTTTACTATATTATTCATTGCATATTGTCTTTGGTTTTGTTTAAAACACAAAAATATTTTTTCACATATTTTTCACACACACATTTGGTATCAAATTCAATACCGTCCTGAGCCAGCCGTTATCGAATAAGAGTATGGCCATGAGCTTACGCAATAAATCCTATATTGAATGATTGCTGTGGCGTACGCAGATATAGACAGAAAATTTTTACTATCTAGTATCATTCTATCTTTTTTCATCAATTTGGACGTGCATCGCAATAATACCCATCATTTTATTTCGCCCCGTGGGTTTCTTTAGCGGTGTATAGGATTTGCCAAAAAATGTTATGGTTTTCGGATAGATGCTAATATAATCAATTTGGTAACACCACGTGAAAACCTAAACCGACGAACGACGTCAAAGATGAGAAATATCTGCTACGACAATTAGTCTATCTGCTTAAGGAAAGTTCTTTTTACGGTGGGAGAGCCGCATGACCGTTTACAGTCTGATGATGAAGAACGAGATTAACATTAAATTGACTCCTAACTAAAAGGCTTTAAAAATTGTTGATTTAGCGTTATGTTAGGATATCGATAATTGATTACGACACAGTAGTAGTAGGCGTACATTGCGCTGAAATCAACTAGATAAACGCGTCGCTTTCCTATTACGACTTGTCGCCTGAATATGGACTCTCAATACACTGACATCAATGACGTCATCCTACCCATTCTTAAGTTAATTTATGTGAGTGTTATTAGATGAATAACATATTTTTAATGAAATTTTGTAAATACTAGGTTTATTATCTTACCGTTTCTATCAAAGAAGCTACTGTGTAAGCCTTTAAAAGTCTTTAAAAATTGGTGATTTGGAGTGATGTTAGGATATTGCTAATTGATTATGACGTAGTAGTAGTAGTAATAGGCGTACATTGCGCAGAAATCAACTTGATGCCGCACTGCCTGCACTACGTACGTCACTGTGACGTCATCCAAGCCAGGTCTCAAGTTAATTTCTACGAGTGTTATCAGATGGATAACATATTTGTTTACGAAATTTCGTTTATTTTTTTCGGTATTAGGACCATTTGATATCTTACCGTTTCTATCAAACAAGCTACTGAGTAAGCTTGATGCAACATTTTCTCGTTTATATTCTCTGGTTTTTCCATTAACTCGTAAATATATAGCAGGAACTCTCCTTGTACTGGTATTTTATTTAAGGGATGGTATTCTGAAATCTGTTGCAAGTGTTATTAGTGTATGAAAATTATATCAGAGTTCAAAAATATATCATATAACGCCCATTAATCATGAAATGTGATGTATTTTGCAAGAATACCAGGTAATGATCAGAAGATTATTTTACTGTCATGAGTTTTTAATATGTGTGTAAAATTTAAGATTGTGGATGCTCAATAAATTATAAATAACATATTACATTACATAATCTCATAATGTAAGTAAAACTGATAAAAGTTCCCAAAATATTTAAGTGGAATTGACTGAAAACTGATTTATAATATTATTTGTCAAATTATATTGGATAGCAGTTGGCAACATCATTCGTTAATTTATTTTCGAAACAGATTTATGTTTCGAATCTTTTTTTTAAGCTTTTCTTTGAATTTCTGATTAAATTGTTGAATTTTCACCGTTCGTTCCCGTTAAATAATAAAGAAAATGCCTATATGCATTTGGATCGAAATAAAGATTAAAAAAAATTTAATATGCAAGATAAAAATTAACTACGTACATACGCACACAGTACCTTTTTAATTCGGTCCTTCACAATTGATTCGTTAAGATATTTGTTACGAGCAATCGTTGTGTCGATGAGTTTGGGATAGAAACTTTGGAATTCAGATAAAAATTTCGGCGATATAGTGGTTGGTGCCTTTTGAACGGGTGCCCTGTATATGTGATTAAATATTTTCATTTGTATTATAAGTTACTTAAAAAAATAGTATTGCGGTTAGGTGGCTTAGTTAGGGAATCCATTGGTGCAATGGCTTTTGCTCCTGGGAGAAATTCGTTCCTAAGGTGTCTTAAGAAGCGACTATGAGATAAACCGAAACGATTTTATAGATTTCCGATAGATGGATTTATAAACATCTCAGAAGCACACAGAAGCTCGCTCGTCCCCAATGCTTCTGTAGGACAACGCGCGATCTTATACACTGCTTGTTGCTGCACGTTGTTATTTTGAATCCTATTTGAGGAATAACGTAAATCTATATTGGCCACGCATACACTTACCATCTGGTAGACTATCGTGCTCATTTAACATATTTATATAAAAAAGTGTAGATGTGATTGTAGCTAGACTTGTTGCTAAATTAGTTACACAGACAAGAATGAAATGAGTTTCTACCTAATTAAGTGCTGAATTGAATACGTTATTATAGATTTTTTTTTTCATAATTTGTTGCTCAAAGCTTTGATTCATTTAATCAACGCCCTCTAAGTGATCCAGCTGCTCCTTTTGGAATAGCTCCAATAGTTAAGATCTAAAATTTATTATATTAAATTACGTCATACAGTGCTGTTAAAAGCTCGTATTGTAGTAAAAAAAAACATTATTAACTGAAACGTCTTCATTGTTCTCGACAAAAATTATAAATAATTATTACTTAAATATTTTTTTTTCACCACTGGCTCAGCATGGAGGAATATCTCAACTTTTTCTCGAAATGCAAAAGTTGATAAATAAGAGCTTAAAATGGGCTTCAGAAAATGTCAAACATTTATATCCGTATAACCAATTAAAATTTTATGAGAACGATGTAAATAATAAATGAGCAAATAAAATATTCAGAGGGAAATAGGAGGGTGACATTGAAAGTTCTTAGAAAATGAAAAACTGAGCAAACTAGAAAGTTATTAGTTTTATTTTTCTTTCGAAAATAGTGTCCATTTACATCAATAAATCGCTTAATCCGATAGAACCATTGAGAAAAGCACTTTGCCCACTCGCCCTTAGGGGTCTCTTCGACGGCATTTTGAAACGCAGCCACTGCTTCCTCGGCGTCCATAAAACGTTTTCCTCGAAGTTCTTTCATTATCGGAAATAAATAAAAATCTCAAGGTGCGAGGTCGGGGCTATTGGGCGGGTGAGCCAGTAATTCCACGTACGACGTCATCAAGTAGTCTATTCTTTACTTGACGGTATGCGACGAGGCGTTGTCGTGGTGAAGGAGGATTCTACTGCGAGGTCATTTCTCCCGAACTTTTTCCAAGACAAGTGTCAAACAATTGTTTGCGTACCACTCTGCAGTAACTGTTTTTCGATCCCCTGAAACAATTGTTGCGTAATGACTTGTCCTTCCGAAGAACGAGGCCACCATATTTTTACCCACGCTTCGACCTCTCTTCAATATAGTTGGAAACTCCTTTTTTAGGAAACACTCAGACAGCAGAATGTCTCTTAGTTTCAGGGTCATAATAGTAAATCCAGCTTTCGTTACTCGTAAGTATGTCGAACACAGCATTTGAGTCACCTCCGTTCAATCTTTGAACCATTTCATGACACCAATCAACACGACGGAGTTTTTGGGCCTCTTTCAAATTATGAGGTATTCGGTATGAGGTACCGGGCACAAAGCTTCCTGATCGCTAAATAATTATGGAGGATTTTGTACACGTGACTCATACTGATGCCTAAGATTGACTAAATTACTCTTTTGTCAGTATTTATCATACGCCGCACAACACTGAAGTTATCATTAGTCGTCGCCGGAGAAGGCCGTCCATCACGCAGATCATCGATGAGATTAGTGCGACCTTGTTTAAAGTCATTAAATTAGTTATAAAAAGTGGCACGAGATGGGGCTTCATCGTGAAAGGCCAATCAATGTCTATCATAACTTTTTTGTTGACTTAAAAGACATCGAAAGTCATAAAAAATCATTGTACGAGTTCTCGCGTTAAATTCATGCTGACGTGACAGAAAATTTTCAATTTGCCGCCAAATCGTAAACAAATGATAAATTAATAAAATACATACACAGCAATATTGGCAAAGAGTCCATTTTTAAAATTTCAACTTATTTTTTATTATATCGTTTACAAGTGGCCAGTTCTTAAAACTTCCAGTAAACTAGTTTTATATAACGGGTATGAGTCGGACTCTCGTACCTTTGACAGAGGGGTATGCCTTGCGATGCCGCCTCCTTTGGTTTAATACTCAAAGCTTGATACCGAGATAATTGAAAACATGGCTTAAAAGACAAGCATCCAAGCCAACAATTTTTAATAAGAAATAAAAAATTCGACCAAAATTAGTAAAATATTTCGTGGAATTGAAAATTGTCAAAAGGTTAAGGTGCGGCAAAGCCGCAAAGCTTATACCGGCGTATGGCCAAATCAACAAACCTCACACATTAATAATATTAATAAGAATGAAAATCAATAATTAAAATAACACACTTTCGATTTCAGACCAACAGACTTCTACTTTTTCTAGAAATTGGATAACATTTGGCGGAAAAAATAATTCAATAATCGAGAGGCAGTACAAAATGCCTTTCTAGAAATTTTGTCTCCCGACAAGCTGATTTCTTCAAGGACCAATAAACTGCCACTACGTTGGCAAAGATGCATCAATTGCACGAGTAATTTCATTGATTAATGTAAATAAAAACAGAGAAAAAGACTACGTTACTTACTTCATAAAAACGGCAATTTCATAGGTAAAGATATAATATATCGTATGCTTTGTGCTCGTTTGCCGCTCTTATTTATCTTTATTAAAAAAAATACAAATATGATATTAATAATTCAATGAATAAATGCGTGTTACTAACCATCGAGCACAATTCCTCGATATTTGTAATAACTTTCTACCGTAAGCCATTGTGATTGTAACCGATTTATTGTACTATAAACGAACACGAAACTTCTTATAAAAACGTCTTATAAGTTATAGAACTGAATTTACACTACTTTTGTATCACAGTGCTTTTATTATTTAAGTAGGTTTTCATTATCATTATTTGCGGACTTTTAATGCTAATGGAGATTTAATGCAAATTTATGGCAACTTCGTTTTGTTGGCCTGTCGTAGATATTACATTTAAAGCATAGTAATATGTTTCGAGATTATTGGGATCTATTAACATTAATAATATATTGTGCCGAAATATTTTTGAACTTATAGTAATTAATAAACATATGATCATAGTATGAAAACTATCGAATTTATGAAAATACATTTATAATGATTTTGCAACGGTATATATTTTTTGTACTGTGTTCACGGAGGAGTTTCATTGACGTCATGGAAGACATAGTTTAGATATCACCAGTTTAATTACTTACAGTTAAAAAGTGTAACTAGATCTAAAATTGAAACGATAATGTAACGGAAAAGAAAAAAAGTCGAAAAGCTATTAACTAAATTCGAGTACCGTGCATAAATGAGTCCTAAAAATGTTATAAAAATGATTGACCCGCCCCTGAACGATCACTTGATCGTTACTTGAACATATCATAGATAAGTTTTAACTTCATTTACGTCGATCAATCAATTTAAATCAAGATCGCAAATTATCTATGATATTTTATGTCGATCTGGCTCTGCAGATGTTCACAATTCAAATTCTTATTCAATAAAGTTTTATTTAATTACTATTCAAATATATGTTCCGTTACATTCTGAGTTATCGAGGCGTGCAAATTTTTATTAAATAGTTATTATACATTTTTTACAATTATTGATGAATGTTAGTTAGTTAATATAATATAAAATATCCAAATAATAACAAAATAAATGTTGAAAGATTGGGGGCGACTAAATCTAGTCCAATTCAATCCCCAGAAGAAACAAGTTTGCACGTTAATCGCTAAAATGAACCCCTTTGTGTTATCTCCTCAGTTTGAAGACACTCCCCTTACTGCCTTAGCTAGCATCAGAATTATCGGCGACCACTTATCGAATAGTGTGCTGTTTCGTGGTCACTTGGAGGGGAAGGCTAAATTGGCATTTAAAAAGCTTGGCGTGCTGTTGACGACCGAGTTCTTTCTGGCTTGATGATTCACTGGCGCTGGTAGGGATGTTGCATCCCTTTGCATTTTCCGTAGCGTATCTACCACGGGGAGTGTTCTGAGGAATTGTTCGGATTGCCCTGGACTGCTGGAACAGGTTCGGCTTAATACACCCTATAAAATCTCGCGAAAAGGGAAATACACACCATTTGCTACCAAGGAATCCAAAAGCAATCTCGGCCATTACGTGATGATGAACAGGCTGCAACGACAATACAATGAGCTCCAGAACAAAACGGACGTAGACATTTTTTCTAATCTCTCTAAATTCAAAAAAATACTTCTAGGATAACCTCTCTAAATTCAAAAAAATACTTCTAGGTGCAAGTTTGAGTACGGAATAATTTTGAATTGTTTAGTGTTTGTTATAAAAATATAATAAGTAATATTTAAAAAGTAAAAAAAATTACTTTTTAAATAAGCATTAAACACTCACATTTGCATATCGTAGCAGCCTGTAATTGAATCTGCACTTAGCTTAAATATTAGATAATAGCTTAACAATTTAATGTTTTTGGTGTAAGATTTGTTGGCTGTCCTTAATAAATAAATAAATTAGTTCCAGCCGGCAAATTTAATGAACGCACATTGTGTCAAAATTCACGATACCATTCTCACCATCTGGATGCTTGGCGATCCACCACTGTCCGTTTAGTTAAGATTTTTCTTTCTCGTAAAACTTCTCTGTGGAATTAATTACCACCGGCGATTTTTCCGGACCAACATGCCTTAGGGACGTTCAAGTAAAGAGCTTAATCCTTTCTAAAAAGCTGGCAACGCACCCGCAATTCCCCTGGTGTTGCGGTTGTTTATGGACGGCGCTAGTCACTTACAATCAGGTGAGCCGCAGGCTTGTTTGCCCCATCTTCTATAAAAATATAATAATAGTTACTAAAAAATACATCAAAAATCACAAAAAATTTCCTCGATTCAGAAAATATCAAAATCATGTTGTAGAATACAGTCGCTTTGCCACGACCACGCACAACAAACAAAAGCACCAGTAGTGCGTTATGCAGAAGCACCAACACTTTACGAGGACATATTTAACAACATCTTCGTGGTAGTCAAGTAGACATAGTGATGAATTTGTGCATAATTACCACAATCGGTCGAATACTAATAATAAAAGGAAACAGAATACAGCGGTTAAACTCCATCTCCATCAAAGTACATATCACAAACATACGAGATCTGCGCTGTAATCTCAATGCAGTCCACTACCACCTTGAGACTAACTTACTCTTGCCTGAGACGCAGATCAGATGTCCTCTAGATGCGGCGTATCTTCGCCAACATGGATATACATTGTAGCATAATCTCCACCAGAACAAGCAATTTATTTTAAGAATAGAACAGTGTTTTATTCTTAAAACTAAATTTGTGATTTATTACGTAAAAAGTACGATATAAGGTGTGAGCAACTTAAGATTACCTGAAGAACGTAGAAAATAATTACGTGAGCTACATAAGTATTGAAATTTAGATTTCAAATAATCGGGTTTTCCAAAAGTACAACTTTTTGTTTAATGTTTTGTTCACGATAATTATTTTATTTAATTACCCATTGTATTAAAATTTTAAAACAGGTAAGTGCTTGAGTAGTCGTATGAATATAAATGCTCTTTGTTAATATTTAATTTTTTGTGAATTTGTAATGTTTCATGCCTGCTGCACGGCACTTATCTTTTCGTGTTACAGAATCAGTTCGTGTTATCTATTGACGTAGGAGTAAAAGTTTAAGAAGATAAGACACAATATAAGATAGAAAGGATGTAAAAGTTCCAGTGCAGTCGAGTCGGACTTGAGGCGAGAATAAAATTGAGAAATTTGGTTATATTGTTTGCGTAATCCAAATATAAACCAGACGGCAGTATTTTGATTGCGACAGTAATGCACTAGATCTTTCTAAACTTTATTGACTCCATGAGGATGCAGAACCGACAAAAATCGGTAGTATATTTTAACACTGTTAAAATACTTATACCCTCTTCCTATTACCATCGTCATAAAATAAAGTGAAATGAAATGGCTTTATTTTATCGACGTAAGGAAACAAATTTCGTTTCGCTTGCCTTGAAGGCTGGTAAATTTTCTAGTAAACAAAAATGGCCCACTCGTTACGAGTGGTGTAAGTACGCTTACGTCTGAAACATACCTATATAGAAGTAAGTATCAAAAATATAAAAATTTCATAGTCTTCAAACAAAGCATTCAATAAACAACTAAAGGTTCAAAAATAGGTGTTGTAGATTGTACTTACTTCACGTAGTTAACGCTTACACCTGCGTCACTGTCCTCTGCGTAATTGCGTGCGTGCGTGGGTGCGTGCGTGCGTGCGTGCGTGCGTGCGTGCGAGCGTGCGTGCGTGCGTGCGTGCGTGCGTGCGTGATGCGTGCGTGCGTGCGTGCGTGCGTGCGTGCGTGCGTGCGTGCGTGCGTGCGTGCGTGCGTGCGCGCGCAGTGTGTGTGTGTGTGTGTGTGTGTGTGTGTGTGTGTGTGTGTGCGTGTGTGAGTGCGTGTGCGCGCGTGTGTGTGTGTGCGTGCGTGCGTGCGTGTGTGCGTGCGTGTGTGTGTGTGCGTGTGTGTGTGTGGGGGGTGTGTGTGTGTGTGTGTGTGTGTGTGTGTGTGTGTGTGTGTGTGTGTAAGTTTCATAACATTTGAACGTCTTGATCGATTGATATGCGGTTTGCGGCGTTCTAAAGATCTCAATGTGGAATTAATGGAAATTTCTTGTTTTACGCATGGTACCTACGATTGATTTTACGCATTGTACTTACGATTTCGGCTGATTTGCCTACGAAAGGAACCAACTGTTAACTGTAAGGTTTCGTCCTGTCTCAGAAATTTAAGTAATTAGCATCTTCATGACTTCTGCGGTAGCATTGTTCAATTTAAGTTGAAAAATGTTGAGAACATAACACGTAGCAGATAAAGTTTTATTCCGTATATATCACGCTTAAATTTATTGTACTGTCTGAAGGGACATTTCCCTCAAAAACATGCCATCATCTTACCAATAACGTCGTCCTGTCCCACAAAATAGTTTTTCAAAATATTACGTACTGGTGCAGCTTTATCTAGAGTACAACGAGATGCTTGTGTGGTTGCATTTTCAAACCGCAAGTAATTTAGTAAAAATTATGTTCGTTTCAGTGATATGGTAGTTTGAAAAGCAGTTACCTCAGTTAGTAAAAATCCTCTAAAATCGCGTGTGTCATTCGCAAATTTCCTGAAATGTATGGTAATCCAAATAGCGCTCAAATTTCTACGGCATCAGTAGGTTTGCATTCACGAGTTCTAAAACACGATGGCGCCATTTTTCGTAAATTCATTGGGTTGTATGATATGTTTTTCAATAATAGCCTAAGTAGTTAATAAATTACAGGCTTGCACAAACAATATTATCCCCACGACATTTCTACGAGTACCCGAATCTTTTGTGAGAATATTTTGAACTTGTTATTGTTAAATTTTTGCTATTTTGTCACCTTATCACGCCCTGTAAAACGTGCGCTTTTATCTGAAAGAGTCACATCTTCCTCATCTGAATCAGAGCTGCTTAATTCTGCAGCATATTGAGTTTTTTCTAGAACTGAAATGTGATTGGAATGTTCTGAACCTTGGTCACTAGATCTAATTCACTCTCTTCATCTCCTCGTTGCATTTGTGCAAGTATTGCACTAAAGACTTTCGTCAACGAGTCATATTTATAAAAATATCACTATAACAAGCCAAATAAAATTTTTGTTGATATTTCAAAAATTTATATCTTGCGTTGTGATTCGCGCATAGGTTTTCCGACGACAGC